AAAAGTAATAGTTATGTAAAGTGTAACTTGTGTATTTAAAGAGTAATAGTTATGTAAAGTGTAGCTTGTGTATTTAAAGAGTAATAGTTATGTAAAATGTAGCTTGTGTATTTAAAGAGTAATAGTTATGTGAAGTGTAGCTTGTGTATTTAAAGAGTAATAGTTATGTAAAGTGTAACTTGTGTATTTACAGAGTAAAAGAGTTATATAAAGTGTACCCTTTATATTTGAAGAGAAACATAATTATTTACTATAATTTTAAAATAAGTAATGTTGGTACTTTCTTTCATAGTATACAAAAGTTACTGTGTTTTTTCTTCTACCTGGCCACTGTTACCATTTGAATAAAATTTCCTTGTTTACATTAGAAAATTATTATTTTTATTTCAGGAATCAAAAAATGTTCTCTTGATTTTTTCCGTGAAAGGAAGTGGTAAGTTTCAAGGTAAGAAATGCTTTCAGTGGCATATTAACAAGAAACACACACACACACACACACACACAAATATATATATATATATAGGTAAGTAAATAGTACTAACACTATAAATTACTTCAACAGTATATAGGTAGTAAAAATCAGCACTAAATAACAGTGATGAAAGTCAGTATAAATATTAATATGTGTATTATGAGACCATTGCAAGTTCCTGTCATTACTCATAATGGAAAACAATAGATGGAGTACCCCCAATGCCTTTGGATGCTACAACCACAAACAGACATGATCCAAATGTAAAAGTTAGCTCTTACGAAAGATCAAATTAGGGATTAGGATTTGAGTGCTTTGACACACAAGTCTTAACTCCCACTTCCTTTTACTGTCTGCAGCCATTTGTGGAAAAGCAGTCACTCTTAATATATTAACATAAACTGCTAAAATAACTTTGTAGTAGAAATAAACTACTCAATATGTCAAATTATAATAGCTATAGGACATTGTTCGCTTTACTACCATTAGTACAAAAAAGGTAGGGTTAGGTGTCATCAACAGTCGACAGCAAAAAAAAAGGAAACCTGGATAAGTACTTTATTTCTCGTTTTTCATGTTTATTCTTTATTTGTTATTATAAAAGTAACTAAAATGTAAAATTGAGGGTCTCTTTAGGTTGGTTAAGATTAGATTAGGTAAAATAAATAATAATATAATAATTGTGTTTCATGAGGCACTCATGTGAGCAGCTCAGACTTGGAGTAGCTCGTGGGTAATGTAATTTGTTAGTGTAAAGTGGGCTCCACGATTCCCAAGTGATTTACAACTTATAATGACATGAATAGTAGCAGTTAGTTGTTCATAGAGCAATAAAATTTAAGTGTAAATAGATGAATACTGTTATACGTTTAAAGCTACTTAGAATAGACAAATGTAGTTTCATGTTACAATTTGTAGTCATTCTAGAAAGAAACATGGTTATTTACAGTTATTTTGATTTTTTATTTTTTGACTGACCTCCATATAGAGTTAGGGTAGAGCAAATAACAGATAAGATATATAGTTTTATTCAAAAGAAAACGTTTGAAATGTATTTAGGAGGTTTTAGAGATTACACAAATAATATTTGAGATGTAGAAAAGTATTTTCAATCTTTCTGTGGAAATCACTTAGCACTCGGACTAGTAACAAAACAGACGAAAATTTTGCTGCTGGGTTGCACATCTCTTCCAGAGATGATGTAATATGACTCAAGGTCACAGTTTTCATGTGTCGAGATGAGTAATAAGTGGTAAAGAACAAGAGAGGAAAATAAAACATTAAAAATTAACTACATGTGAAAAGGAAAAGACCTGAAATTATGAATATAACCAAAAGAGGGTCTTTAGAGATATTCTATAAAAAATTCAAAGGTGTGTACTTTTTTTTTCTATTTCCTAATTTTAATTATTTCATTGCATTGTACATTGATGATAATAGCTAGAGTTAATATATGTATACATATATATATATATATAATTACATACTTAATTAGTAAGTAAACA